ACGACCTGCGAAACGCAGACCCAGCAGGGCCAGGCGTGGTGGCCCCGGCACCTCCTCGGCTTAATGAAACCCGGACTCTAGTGACATCTGTTTACCCTTCTTCAGCCAGAGGAGCCGTCTTCCCACAGAAAATCACCCCATGCCCTCCTCCGGGCCGGGACAGAGAGACCGTCCGCGCAGGCTGGAGCGCTGGGTCTCAGGGAAAGCGCAGGGGGTGGGGGGCTGGCAGGTGACCGAGGGCACAGGGCTGTGTTCTGTGAAATGCTGCCTCCTCCGGGAAGCCCTCCCTGGAGGCCCTGCTCCTGACAGCACCTCCACCCCTTCCCTGGACCTGTCGCCACCCGACACCAGGTGCAGACATCACTGTCCCGAGGCCCACGTGGTGGAGGGAGGAAGCACACACCCACTTCCTCCACAGCCCCTGTCCACGCCCACCTTGGTCACAGGGACCAGCCCCGAGGCCCCGCCTCAGGGCAGCAGGAGCAGTGGACAGGCTGCCACCACGGTGAGTGTCATCTTCACGGCCCCAACTCATTCTGTTATCCCCCCCACCCCCCGGCCCGTGCCCGCCCTGGCTGCTCTCCGGCTGCGCACTCCTGGCGGGTCAGTAACTACGGGGCGAGCTGGTAGCTTGTGACTGACTAGCCCCAGCTGCCCGCCCCATCCTGGAGGAGCCCTGTCCCTCCCGCTGCTCAGGGCTGGGGCTGCCTGCTTCCCGGAGATGACGCCGACAGGCCTGCTCCTGAGGCCCGAGCAGTGCCCCGGGGACCCCACTGCACCTCCCGCCACAGCTGACCCTCTGGGGTCCTCCTCCGCCTGTCTCTTCTCAGCCTCCAAGACCGCCCACCCCTCCTGAATCGACCTGTAACCCCTACAGCGAGGGCGCCCCACACCTTCCAGGCTGCGTGCCCGCCCCCACGGGCACCTGGGACAGGAGGGTAAGCTGCCCGCAGCGTCCGCTGCTGGGGGCCTGGGGCAGGGCGAGGGCGCATCTTTTTAAAAACCAGGTAACCAGCCGGTCAGGCAGGCCCACCGTCCCGGGTGGGGTGGGGGGGTCCTCGCCCACACTCCCCCAAGGCGGAGGGGCCGACTTCCCGGCATCGGAACACCAGGGACTTGCTCCGTAAAACACAGGTTCCCCACCCGGCCAGGCTCCCCTGCCCAGGCGGCCTGCAGACAGCCCTCTCCGTGAGAGCCCAGGGGACGGCACCCCGCCGGCAGCCCCCCGCCGGGCAACAGCCCTGGGGAGAGGCACCAGGAGGAGGGTCGTGTCCCGGCCCCCCCCATTTCCAGGGAGCTGTGTCACAAGAACGGCTCACGGACACTCCTGTTTCTGGCTCTTGTCAAACCAGCATTTCCTTGTAGAGCAGCAGGTTCCCAGGCTCCGGGGGCAGCACCCAGGGAGACCCTCGGTTAGGAGTGAGGACGGGCTCGGGCACCCCTACCTTCCCGGGCCATGCTCAGCCTGCCCCCGACTCCAGGCCCGGCTCAGACGAAAGGGGCACCACTCCCCGCGCCTGCAGCCCAAAGGGTGGCTCAGTGGGGAGTGGTGAGGGAGGGAGGGAGTGGTCGGACAGGTGGCAGAACAAACAGCTGCAGCGGCTCCTCCCTCAGGATCTGGGAGGGCAGGGAGGGCATCCGGGATCTGAGATAAGGGCCCTCCCAGCTCCCTGCCTCTGCCCGGACAGGGGCAGCCCTCTCCTCCCAGGGCCCCCTGCAGCCACCCCCTGCGGCCACCGCCTTCCTTCCCCGCCAGCCACGGCCCCTGCCAGTCCCCGCTCTGCCCCGGCGCACTTCCCGAAGGGAAAGAAGAGCTGAACCCTCGACAGCCTGCAAGCGTGCTCGTGGCTGGCGGCTGCCCCCACCCCGCCCCGGCACCCCAGCATGCACCGCTCCCGAGTCGGCCCCTTCGTGCTCGCCCCCACCCTAGAGGAGTGCACTGGGCTCCTCTTCCCGCTGTCACCTCACGCACTCTGCAGCGGAAACGGCAGCTGCCTTGCAGCCCCGCAGGCCGACAGCGGGGTGTCGGTCTCTGGACTAACATCAAGGCCGGTCCCTCCGAGGCTGGAGCAGAGAACCCGCTTCCTGGACGTTAGTCTCCAGCCCCCGTGGCTGCCCGCACCCTTGGCTTGTGGCCCCTTCCCCCACCGCAAAGCCAGCACCTCCGTGCTGCCCTCACTCCCTCGTGCCCTCTGCCTCCCGCTTCCCGGGAGGACCCTGTGGTCACCCTGGCGCTCCCGGGCATCCAGCAAGACCCCAGTCAAGGTCAGCTGACGAGCACCCTGACCGCCAGCGTTCCCGCAGCCGTTCCTCTGCGCGGGAACCGGAGCTGTGAGTGCCATTCACCGGCGGCACTTACGACAGACAAGCCAGTGGGAGTCCAAGGGAAGGCACGGGAGAGGGAAACAGAACACCTCCCCAGGTCCCTCTGGTCTCAGGATTTCTTCCCCAGCAGCTGTCTCGGTCTAAACCAGGGGTGGGGCGCTCTGACAGGTGTGGCTCCATGGATAGAGCGTCGGCCTGCCAGCCGCCGCCACCGTGTGGGAGTGACGGGCAGCCGGTGGTCGGGGAGGCGCCGAGGGCCCCGGACAGCGGAGAGCCACTCCTCTCAGGGGGCGAGGGCGGCGCTGGGCAGGAGGAGGACGTGGCCATCGCTGGGAGCCACTCAGCGCCCGCGGCCGGTGGAGGCGGGAGGG